TCTCAGGGGGCTCTTTTTCTTGGGACCCCTTTGCTTTAGGGGGATTGTTATTAAATACCTCGAGAGAGGTGTAGAAAGGTTTTTAACAGACAAGGCCGGTTTTCGCCCATGGGGGGGGTTGGGGGGGGGGGGTACTCATAGTCGCTCATGCCGTAGTCGTTAGACCATTGGCTTGTTTTAATCATACACAGCCGTGGCCTTCAACACGCTTTACCCCAACATACAGAGCAGGGACAAATCACATTGCATTTTAGCCCCGGCCAGGCAAATAGGGAGGGGAGGGGAAGAACGACGGGGATGGTAGCGCGTCTGCTGCAGGTCGAGGCCTGCTCTTTGGCACCCATTGGCCTGCACAACAGCATTGACTTCACTTCGCTCACTACCACAAACCGAGTAACGTTCGTGAATCTGTTGGCGGCAATACTGTCTCTGTGGCCATCAAGGCGAGGCAAGGTAGACCGAAAATAGTTCCCAAAACGCCTCCACCACACACACAAACACACGCGAGACCAAAACCTTGGGGGCAAGCGCAAGCATGTCAACCAGCGCACGGGAAGCATCTGATGCTGATGGCACTGCGTGTGACGTTGACAGGAATGCGTGGAATGGCGTTGAGCATCTTGAGGTTGCTTCCCCACAGCAGCATATGTCTAACCTCAATGGCGTTGTCCTTGTGCTCACCAAAGCAGCGAATGCAAGCAGGACGGCGAGATGGGGTATGTCCGGGAAAAACCGTGAGGGTCTACAGCACTGTTCATCACACCAGAAAAATCCATGCTCCCCCCGTTGACCTCCACTCACCGGGGCGCAGCACCTCCACCGTCTCGAAAGCGGAGTCGTTCCTGTACGGCCCCGTGCCCCCGCCCATCGCAAGCAGCGCACCGCTCGGCTCGAACGCCGCCCCCAGGAAGCACCGCTGCCGCCGCAGCGGCGGCAGCGCCTCCCACCCCCAATCTGATTCCCCCGCCGCCGCCGCCGCCGCCGACACAGGGGACTCGCCGTTTTCCCCAACCGAAGTTCGTTGTGGCGGTGCCGGAGACACAGCAGCCGCTGCTGCTGCTGCTGCCACTGCTGCTGGAGCCGGAGCTGGAGCTCGCGCGGCGCTAGCGGGGGTTTCGGCATTTACCCCGAGACCTCCCCCCCGCTGCCGCTGCTGCCGAGCGGAGACTAGGGGGTGGGTGAGGCGTTCGCACGAACTCAGAGCACCCCCGCTGTTCCACCCTCCCAGGACGTGGACGCCGCCGAACCTGTCCACCGTCGCGCCGGCGGCGCTCCTGCTCCGCCCAGCCAGTCAGCCCAAAGGAAATAAAAAAATGGTTTCGTGCCAGTTGTACGGGGGGAGAGAGACAGAGAGCGAGAGAGCGAGAGCGAGAGAGGGAGAAGCGACAGAGACAGACAGAGACAGGCAGAGACAGGGAAAATAGAGAGAGAAGAGACCACGAGAGAGAGAGAGAGAGAGAGAGAGAGGGAGAGATAGTTTTTGTCAAAGATGAGAAACGAAATCCGAGCAGCCCACTAACCACGTTTCCAGTTGTGTGGCGACACCATGGAACACGGGAAATTGCCTCCCGGGGGGGTGACGTGAGGCACGAATGCGTTGAATCGATTACGCCGCATTCTCAACAGATGTTTCGTACCCACGAAAGGAGCGCGTGAGAGCGGAGCACGTTTGAGCGGAGTGCGTGAGAGCGGAGGAGGGCGGGAGGGCGGGATATTGATTTTGAGGGGTACAAACCGCCTCAGTTGTAGAGGGAAAATGGAAGCAATTAATCGTTCCTTCCTGCGGGGAGACCAAAGGAACAGAAGCATCGCAGAGGTGGTGTTCGGTGTGATCCCGGATGGGAGCTCCTCGATCTTGATTGAGGGCAAGAAGAACCGTACGGTCGGTTCGGGAGGGGATGTATAAAAAGAAAAACACTCGTAGCAATCACCTGATCAGTAACTCGCTTAGCCATGAGCTCACGAAGCCAGTTCATTGAAAAACCTTCGACCGACGCTGCCGGGGGGCGAGAGCACCGCGTAACCTTTGTCCTTCGTCGAAATCGACACCCAGCACGTGCGCGTCACAACTGGTCCACCACTATTATTCCACACACGCGCACCCATCGAGCCCGGCTTGCTTACCGCGACATGGACATCCTCGGCAGAGCTTCCCACGTGATGGTCTTGCCATACGGCGCATCGACGAAGGCTTCCGTTTTGTCCGAGCCTTCCTGCTCAATTCCGTGAGAGAGAGGGTGGGTATTCTACTGTGGTGACAATATATATAGTCGTGAACCTTCGACTTTGCACCCCCTGTTCAAGATACAGGATTTTTTCCTGCTCCGACCTAACCTAGACACGTCCGATTAAACCGTTTAGCCCATTTCTTTTCGCGCACGAGAAAAGAGTCCTCAACAAAAGACACCCCCCCTCCCCCCCCCCCTCCCTCGGTGTTTGCCATCGGGATTGGGTTTTCATCGCTTGGCAACGACGTTGTAAAACAAGCCAATTCACTTCGTGAACTCGGCAACCAGGTTGCCGGGGTTTTTTTACCTCTGATTTTTTTTTTTTGCGGTAACCATCATGGTGGTCGAGTAGATCATGTTGTGCGGGGTCGAGAACCCTCACTCCGCGCAACGGGGGATGACCGCACCATGTTGTGTTAAAATGGTCAAGCATCCTCGAGGCAGTTACACAGTGCTTTTTAACTGTCTCTGGAAGTGAAAGCACCAGAAAATAAATCAAGTCATACGTAGCTGTCATCCATACGCAAGGAAGTAAGCACAAGATGCCGAACACCCTTAGCAGGATGCAGCGCACCCTTCATGCGACTCGCCGAATACCTCACGGCGCTTCGCGCTTGGTGATGTGAGAGCCTGGTCCGGTGAGAACCCGGCGTGCTCCGTCCCGGCTTTGTAGGGATGCGAGGTGAATGGTCATGCCATTGACCACGCGTCCTCGAGAGGACGGAGCATTGTTCCCACAGGACCGATCACCGATGGCCAATCGTTCCTTCCTACTTTGCCAAAGGAGGCCTTCCCTAGTCTGTCTATCCTAACGATATCCCTTCCCGCCTTCTTCAAACCATTTCCTACTCCCCAGTACAGCTACCGTCTTCTCCTCTCTGTTCCATGCCTCAAACATCTCCCTGTACCTCCCTTGTATTTTTCCCAGCTCAGTCATGTACACTCCCCTCTCCTGTTCGTGCAACTGACATTCCGCGACTACGTGAACACGGTCTTCGCACTCGAAGCCGCAATTACATTTGAACTTGTCGTCTTCGTCGTCTACCGTCCCATGTCTTCGTCGACGTTCTCGAAGGCCTATGTCCCCGGTCCTGAATTTGACCTTAACCTTTGTTCCTGCATCCATTGGTCCATGTAGGTAATCCTTGAACCCAATTACTTCTTTCAACATTCCGTACACTTCTAGACCCTCCTTGTCCTTGGTTTATTTCCTTAGATTATGTTCTTCTCTCTCGGCACATGCAACAGATCGATTCTCCTTGAACCCCTGTAGACCCTCCGTTTCCAGCGTCTCTTCTTCGTCTATGTCTAACCCCTTCCATACGTCCTCTAACAACCTTGATCCATTCCGTGGGTTGTCTACCCCTCTTTTTGTTTGCCCACTTCAGCCTCCCATACTATCCTCGGCAACCTCTCCTCTCCCATCCCGCACATGCGATACTGCCATGTCAGCTTCCTTGCGTCTCTTCCCGACCGTAGGGATTGGATCCCCAATTCTGCCCTGACGGCTGCATTACTTGTGCGCTTGGAGCATCCTACGATGATTTTCGCTGCTTTCATCTGCGCCGCCTCGAGTTCTTTCACTACCTTCTTATTTCGTTCCCATACTCCGGCGTACTCTAGCGGCGGTACGATTACGCTCTTCAAAACCGCCAATTTGATGCGTGTATCGAGGTGCCGGTTTGCGAGTATTGGGTGCAGCTTCCCTGCTCGTGCTTTGCCCTTTTCCGCTACCTTGGATATGTGTGCATTCCACGAGTAGTCTTTTGCGATCTCTACTCCGAGGTATGTGTTCTGGTCCACTACTGCAATCTCCTCGATCCCCCACTTCCATCTATGTTCTACTGGTTCCTTCCTGACCTCGT